GGGTAAGTTCACTTATCACGTTTCTTGCGACACTAAATGAATTCAAATAGTAAATTACTTGCTAATTTGGTTAGATTACTGCAATGGTATCAAGAGTTAGAACTAGATAATTGTTACACCTTTTCCCTAACTTTTCCCATCAGACACTTCAAGTTAGAGGCTGAATTAGCGTCCATGACTTGGAAGATTAAATGGGATGATATAACAACAGCATCAAACGAACTGAAAGGCCTAGGCTCGAGAAGAAGCTTGACTCGAATCAGTCATACGGTAAATTTGTTCTATATATTTATAAGATACATTTCAATGGTGTTATTTTACATTCTATCTTTCTCTTGGGCAGGGGAGATGTCCAGTTTAGTCTATTATAGCAATTCCGGGTTTATTAAAATAGTTTTATTTCTTTTAAGTTATCCACCCAAACAGAAACGTGTTGAACTTTTACCAGTCGTCTCTCTCTTTAAATTTCATTATAATTACAATAAACAATGCAGCTGTATTCTTGGAGATTATGTGGAGATTAACTGATTAAGGACGTGGATTCTGCTCGATACATTTGTTAGTTTAATACCCTAAAAGTCTGACTTTTGTTACATATTTGTTGCCTCCTAAAATTTCACATTTGTTACAAAGCATCAGTTTCAGTTTACGATGTTGCAAAACTGATGGAAACAAATAACCATATTATGCAAGTGAAATTTAGTACACGGTTTGGTTTTATTCAGTTTACCTCCTAGTGACACGTTATAAAAAAAACAACACTGAGCTTTAAATAAAGAAGAATAAAACTGGGTGTATTCACAGATTTTTTTAAAACTATTTTAAACTTTTTAGTAGCAAAGAACGTTACAATTGTTGGGATATATTCATTCCAGAAAAGTTATTTATTTAGACACTGTATTTCCTTAGAGGCACAACATAGAAATACAGGTTGATCAAAGCAATCAAAATGTCTGTACGCATTGGATATACCACGACATCTGCTGAGGCAATAACAGTGATTCAATTCGTCTTCAACTCAATAATTTTGGAACTAATCATCACCTTTTACAAGATCAGCTGTAATTATGCTGAAATAAAGAGTTTACAGCTGTTAGACATTGAGTATTCTTTCCAATTCCTGATGGCATGTAATGATTAGCTTTAAATAGTGTTTTTCTGTTCAAACGAAACTAATTTCAGCTTTGTTGAGTATATTTTCAGCTAAAACGTGAGCACAAAATGGTATCCAGTTTTGTATTACTTTTTTTTAATGACCGTAAAAATAAATAGGTCTGTTTAATGATTTTATTGAAAAAACATATTTAGAATAAATATTAAATGCTGCATTACTGAAATACTCTTAAACTTCGTTCTGGAAACATGCTGTAAATTTAAATCGTATCATAAATGGAAACGTACGAGCATGGGAAATTGTATTATACCTGTATTTGCAGGGCTAATGATGCATTGTTTTGGCGGCAGTATGTAATGCCCTAAACTTATGGTTGAGGTTAATTGAATAAATACTTAATTTACTGCTTATGGCAAGAAAGTCTATTTAAGCTACACAGTTTCAGTATTTGGGTGAAAAGAAACCAAAGTTTCTGAACATCCCGGGTTATTTTTCAGGCACCAAAGGTCCCCTAGGAGCCCGAAAGTTTCTAAAACCTAAATTACTGCCAAGAATTTTGGATATATTAACATAATATACCAGAACGTCCATTCGTTATATCCCTTGTTAAAAACATGTTCGACTGTTTTCGAGAAATCCCTAAATAAACTTATTGTATCATTTTTTATGTCTACTCTTCTGTCAAATTCACTCCAGAACACCCCTTAAAACCACCAAGAACAAATAATTATTGGTTATCCTGCACACGCTCCAGATTTGTAAACTTCATGTCATGTTGTCTCAACAATTGCAAATTGTAGCTATTTTAAGGTAAAGTCTGAAATACATAAAATGCTACCTGGAATACTTAAGAAATGGGATCCATATTAAAGAATTATTAATATCAATCTGAGGACATCTCATCATCACTGTTTTAACAATTATGACAACAGTTCCTGAAACAACGTAAATTAAGAGAGAAAAATAACAAGATTTTTCATTAATGCTGTTGTGTTATCTCGTCTAAAAAATAGGCGAAATCTTTCAGCCTGGAAAAGAAACTTGCAATCAGATTCGTTATTTTTTTTTCTTCTAAAAACAATAGCCTTTTCTGCAGCAAATCAAACTGTTTGTCTATAGATCTGGGTCTTTCGGACATATATCGTGAAAAGAATATTAATAATGTTAAGAAAGAAATGATGAAATTACGTTTGTTGACAGCGTTCCGTACCATCGACTTTTGGAACACTTGAGCTGTTCTACTCATCAAAGAAATACGAAAGTCAGAGCAAATGAATATTACATGAACTCCACAGCTTAGCGACAAGTAAACATATAAGAACCATCGATGTATCGAAAATAGGAAGACATTTCTTCTTACAATATATATATATATATCGTGTCCCACTTTATTGACCACCTAAGTCCTGTCTTTATGGTGGCTGCTCGCAGAAGTAACAAGAGGGAATTCTGAATAGCCGCGACACTTGAAATTCTTTTTGGCGGGATTAGAGTAAATTAATCTATGATATTTTAAGCGTGGTGAAATACATCAATCGAAAAGGTTTGACCTCCTTAATCCAAAACTGTAATTAGATCTCGGATCGTTCAAGAGATGACAGAGGTATGGGCCAAACTTTAGTACTTGAAAAAAAAAACCTCAGAGGCATTCTATAAGCCGCTATGCCGCGGCTAAAAATATACTTTACAATCAATGTTAAATGATGTGAGATGAATATCATTGCTATACAAAACTGGGTGATCTGCCACTTTATTTTTCATTATTTTACTTGCAGTCACGGGTTAATATAGCGTTATTTTAGCTTTGTAACGTAAACAAATCTGATAGATCTCTCATTTATAATGATTTCAGTTTATATGTAATCTTGTTAATTTTGGTCGCTTACCTTGGTTGTCACACTCATTATCTTATTATAGTGTTATTAACAGGTACCGTATCGACGTTATGTTTAATATCTATGATACTCTATTAGTGAGTTTGTTGTAAATAGTTCCCTTCTTTCTTTACTAGAGTGAATGTTCTTCGGACACTTTCGCTTTGACTGCTCTAAATAGACAGGTATTCGTCAGGACAGGTTATTACAAGGTAACCAAAATTGAAGTTCTAATAAGATATTAATTATACTGTTTCTAAGCCTCTGAATTCTAGCTCTAAGGAAATAAATTAGCAGTAAAAATTCCCTATAGAGTTGTTTTTCTTTTTTAGATTTACAATATGTGTGCGTTAAAGAATGCCTTTGACAGCGAAATAAAATATATTGAATACGTTTATAAAAGTACGGAAAATATTCTGCCAGTTCAAAGAGAAGAAGAAAAGAAAAATCCTACATTAAAGACTAGTAGGAATGATTCAAATGATAAATGATCTCTTTAATCTAAATATGGTCGTTATTTGAAATTCACGTTATCAGAAACTTTAGGACTCATGATCATGATTTAATTAATAGTAAGTTAGTAAAATAAATATTTCAAAAGTTTACTTTAAGACTGCTTACATAAAATAAAAGTTACCACAAGGTTGTTGATTTTTTTCAGGGAACTGTTGTAGCTATTAAGCCTATCAACAAACCTCGCATAGATATCAACCGTCCTTTGCTAGTAGAATTGAAGAGGGTAAGTTTCTAATGACATGTGACTGCACAAAGTGGACCAGATTGTTGTGCTGAGAATTTCCATTTTATATGCTCAAACTAAGAATTATAAACGTTTGTAATGTAGTTGCAGTGAACTGATCCAACGAACCATTAAAAGCCAAGATAAAATCATGTTCTTATTTTCTACTGTCAGACCTGGTAAGATAAAATTATGATTTAAACACCGAATAATGGATAATCATTAGAAACCAATAGGTCTAAAATTTGAAATACAAGTCACATTAACTACAGGTATTTTTTGTTGTTGTTTTTCGTGTTCTTCTTAATCTGTTTATGGTGAATTCAAAATTAGAAACAGGTAAAAAATATCTGTAGTAAACCTGATTTTTATCACAATTTTATAATATTTTTTTTTCCATTTTGAACATAATTATATTCCTCTTTGATCCGAGAATATATATAAAACCAAACACTCCTACAGCGATGACTTAGATTCCAACAGCTATGTTATACACTAATTAAAATAAAAACAAGAGAATCAAAGAGATTGCCTACCCTCGCCCCGGCGTTCCTTTTCGAAATTTCGTACGTTTATATTGGATAACGATAATTTCATCTTCGAAAAATCAAAAAAATCCTTCTCAGATGACCAACAATCCGGATCATTTATTGTGGTGTGATGAGGAGTCTCAACATTAATGTGCCCATGAAATTTGGTACAAATCCGATAACACTTCACAGAGTTATTAACCGAAAACCGCGAAAATGCGTTATCTCCTTATTACAAAAAAATGCTCCAAAGTGATCTAGAATTTGGGGAGAACTGTCCCATACTGACTTTCCATCTTGTGTGAATATTTTGTGTACATTGGTATATTAGTTTTTGAGAAACGCGCGAGGAAACACACGTAAAAAAGTACAATAAATATTCTAAGTGTCTTTCTAGATCTTACAAGTATACATTATATTTTTTCAAATATTCTTGGCAAAGTGATGATTGTTGCTCAGCCACGTCATTAAAATATGGCTAGTATTTAAGTGTTAACATTAATCGCTTTATATTAGAATAGATCAATCTTTAAGTTTTATTATAAGTATATTTCTTTTTAATTATCAGAAAGTTTATTTGTTTGTTTGTTTGTTTTTGAATTTCGCGCAAAGCTGCAAGAGGGTTATTTGCGCTAGCCGTCCCTAATTTAGCAGTGTAAGACTAGAGGGAAGGCAACTAGTCATCACCACCCACCGCAAACTCTTGGGCTACTCTTTTACCAACGAATAGTGGGAATTGACCGTCACATTATAACGCCCCCACGGCTGAAAGGGCGAGCATGTTTGGTGTGACGGGGATTCGAACCCGCGACCCGCAGATTGCGAGTCGAGTGCCCTAACCACCTGGCCATGCCGGGTCAATTATCAGAAAGAAACTTGCCTCTAGCTCCTTTTTGGCAAAAGTCACGATGTGTCATAAACTGACCGATGAAACAACATTCTAAACCAAAACTTTTTTGTAACTACAAGCTGATGAAGTATGTGTTTAAAAGTTTGAGCTTGAAAGTTCTTTAACCTAAGATATTAATATATTAATTGTTGCAAAGTAAATATTTTAAGAAAATAATAGCCAAACCGTTTATTACTAATAACATTTTTCTGTGATACACATTTTATTAACTAACTACACAAAATATGTTATTTGTTTAGAGCTTTGGGGATTCAAATAGAATGTTTGTTATGACTTTTCTTTTTTAATAAGTTGTTCTTGCAGTCAAATTGTATATCAGATATTAATGTTATTTCAACCCACAACATTCTTCACAAGAAGGCGGTTAAATTTCGTGATTCATTCCTCTTAACACAATGACCCGGCATGGCCAGGTGGTTAAGGCGCTCGACTCGCAATCTGAGG